AAAGTTGGGTATTCATCCTTTCTGATGGCTGAGTACTATTCCATTGTATATATGGACCACATCTTCTTTATCCATTCGTCTGTTGAAGGGCATCTCGGCTCTTTCCACAGTTTGGCTATTGCAGACATTGCTGCTATGAACATTGGGGTGCATATGGCCCTTCTTTTTGTGTCTTTGGGGTAAATACCTGCTAGTGCAATTGCTGGGTCATAGGGTAGCTCTATTTTTAAATTTTTGAGGAACCTCCACACTGTTTTCCAAAGTGGTTGTACCAACTTGCATTCCCACCAACAGTGTAAGAGGGTTCCCCTTTCTCCACAACCTCTCCAACATTTGTTGTTTCTTGCCTTGTCCATTTTTGCCATTCTAACTGGTGTAAGGTGGTATCTCAATGTAGTTTTGATTTGAATTTCCCTGATGGCTAATGATGATGAACATTTTCTCATGTCTCTGTTAGCCATTTGTATGTCTTCTTCAGAGAAGTGTCTGTTCATGTCTTCTGCCCATTTTTTGACTTGTTTTTTTATTTTTTAGATGTTGAGTTTGAGAAGTTATTTATAGAGCTTGGATATCAGCCCTTTGTCTGAAGTGTCATTTGCAAATATCTTCTCCCATTCTGTGGGTTGCCTCTTTGTTTTGTTTCCTTTTCTGTGCAGAAGCTTTTTATCTTGATAAAGTCCCAAAAGTTCATTTTTGCTTTTGTCTCACTTGCCTTTGGAGATGTATCTTGAAAGAAGTTGCTGTGGCCGATGTTGTGATGTATCTTGAAAGAAGTTGCTGTGGCCGATGTCGAAGAGGTTACTGCCTATGTTCTCCTCTAGGATTTTTTTTTTTAAGATTTTTTATTTATTTATTTGACAAAGAGAGAGACACAGCAAGAGAGGGAACACAAGCAGGGGGAGTGGGAGAGGGAGAAGCAGGCCTCCTGCTGAGCAGGAAGCCCGATGTCGGGCTCGATCCCAGGACCCCGGGATCATGACCTGAGCCAAAGGCAGACGATTAACTGACTGACCCACCCAGGTGCCCCTGTTTTTAACTTTTTGAGGAACCTTGCTAAGAAGACTTTTTAAAAGATTTTTATTTATTTAGAGCACACGTGCATGTGCATGGGGGGAGGGGCAGAGGAGGAGAGAGAATCTCAAGCAGACTCCACTGCAAGTGTGGAGCCTGTCATTGGGCTTGTTCTCACGATCCATAGATTATGACCTGGGCTGAAATCAAGAGTTGGACGCTTAACTGACTGAGCCACCCAGGCATCCCAGGAAGACTTTTTAAACAGACTGTGTAGATGGGGTAATGAAAAGCTGGATACTCATGGCAGACTCTCTATCCTTGAAATAAGTATTATTTATATTATATAACATATATTATATACATATAGTATATATATCTACATTATATAATTACATTCTACATTAAAAATTTTATGTATTAAAATCTTAAGATTTGAAGTTGAAGAGCAAGCTGTTGCCATCTGGATCCTAGCCAAAATGTGATATAGGGGAAGTTACTCCTGTCTTCCCTTCTGAATACCCATTGGGCCTCATCTTCTTCCTCTGTACCTGAACTCTGCCTCTCTCAGAGAGAAGATATATAGGGATCATGGACTATTTAGACTACTTATATTGGACTGTTCAGGCTATTTATATTTAGTAAAATTTTTGTTTTGGTAGATTGTTTTTTATGATTATATCTTTATTTTCACTATTGGCTTATTAGCTGTACTTCTTTTCTTTCTTTCTTTCTTTCTTTCTTTCTTTTTTTTTAAGTGGCTGTTCTGAGGTTTAAAAAATACCTTATAACTACTCTACCTTCAAATGGTGTTATACCAGTTTACATATAAGAACCTTACCAATAGTATTGTTAGATTTCTTCCTCCCACTCTGTGCAATTGTTGTCCTACATTTTACTTACACATATGATATAAATCCCACAATCCATTATTATTACTTTAGCTGTAAACAGTTAATTATCTTCTAAAAAAAATTTTTTTTTTTTAAAAAAGATTTTCTTTATTTGACAGAGAGAGAGACAGCGAGAGAAGGAACACAAGTAGGGGGAGTGGGAGAGGGAGAAGCAGGCTTCCCGCGGAGCAGGGAGCCCGATGCGGGGCTCAATCCCAGGACCCTGGGATCATGACCTGAGCCAAAGGCAGACACTTAACGACTGAGCCACCCAGGCGCCCCTCTAAAAATTTTTTTAAATGAGAAAATGTTTTTTATATTTGCCATTGCTGATGTTCTTTGTTCCTGGCTGTTGGGAAATGAATTATTCCCAGTTGTGTGTGCTCTGGGGATTGTTCTGCCTGCTTCTGTACACAGTCATTGGTAGTTTTCTAACACACACATGCAGTACTCAGTCACAGACTCGAGGGAACCCCTCTGCAGTTATCTGGAATTTTTTCTATGCAGCCCCATCCTCTCATTTTGCCATGCAGTTTCTAGGGACTTTGGCCTCCCTTAGCTCTAAATGCTCTTTCCCCAATTCAGCCAGTCTGTTAGACTCTGAGTTGCCTTGCCTTCCCCTGTGCCATGGCCTAAAAATTCTCCCTGTAGTAAGCTGGGGTACTCTTAGGACTTACCGTATTTGTCTGCTTTTCTCAGGAGTTACTCTACCATCTGTCTATTGTCCAGTATCTAAAAACCATTATTTCATATATTTTGTCTGATTTTCTAGTTGTTAGGGCAGTAGGGTAAACCCAATCCCTGTTATTCCATCGTGACTAGGAGTGGAATTATCAGTTTGAGTGAAGGATTAAACCCTTAAGTATTAAAGAACTTTTTCTAATCATACAGGATGTCAAATACAACTTTTGGTTTTCCATAGTGGTAAAAAATGTTTCAGGAAGGGTGTTGCCAGTTTTTGTTTTAAGTTAAATTGTACCTGATTTATTTATTTGCTTAAAATGAAAATAAGTAGTACATTCAGATGGCTCCAAAATAAAAGGTGTATGGTCCCTCACCCATCTAGTTTCCAGCCACTACCACCATCTTTCTCCCATATGCACACAACCTTTGTCATTAGTTTCTTGTGTATCCTTATGTGCTTTTGTTTTCATTTATAGACACATGTATTTTTATTACATATACTCTGCTCTCTATCCTTACATACTGTCCTTTTTTTTATTGAGCATTTAAGAACTCTTCCTTTTTAATACATTAAAAATACTTTTAAGACTATACAGTATTCCATTTTATGGATTAAGCCACAATTTATTTAGTCCCTTAGTGATAAATATCTGTGCCATTTTTAGTCTTCTGCTGCTGTAAGTAGTGCTAAAATGAGTGGCCTTGTACATATTTCATTTTGTACATGTGCCATTATGTCAGAAAATTTCTGAGAAATGGAATTGTTGGGTCATAGGATAAACGTATTTTTTTTTTAGAAGATTTTCTTTATGTGAGAGAGAGCATGAGAGGGGAGAGGGTCAGAGGAAGAAGCAGACCCCTCGCTGAGCAGGGAGCCCGCCGATGCGGGACTTGATCCCGGGACTCCGGGATCATGACCTGAGCTGAAGGCAGTTGCTTAACCAACTGAGCCACCCAGGCGCCCCAGGATAAATGTATTTTTAATTTTGACGATTATTGCCACATTGCACTCTATTGCAGTTATATCATTTTACATTCTCACCTCCACAGTATGAGAGTGCCTTTCCCCCCATATCCCCATCAGCATCAGATTTTTGTCTGTTAATTTTTAAAATGGCATCTCATTTAGTTTTAATTTGCGAATTTGTTATCATGAGTGAGATAGAGCATGTTTCCTATGTTTAAGATCCATTTATGTTTCCTTTCTGCTCAGTATTCTTTACCCAGTTTCCTGTTGAACTGTTAGATTTCTTCTCTCTTTTTTTTTTAAGATTTATTTATTTATTAGAGAGAGAGCATGTTGGGCGGGCAGGCAGAGGGAGAAGGGGAGAGAGAATCCTTAAGCAGACTCCCTGCTGAGGGTGGAGCCCCATGTGGGGCTTGATCCCAGGACCCTGGGATCATGACCTGAGCTGAAGCCAGATGCTTAACTGACTGAGCCCCCAGGCGCCCCTTGAATAATCCAGTCTTAAAACTTTAGTGCACCTTCATCATTAAAATGTATTGCAGGTACTAAAGTTTAAAAAGTGGAATTATAAGAAGTTACTCTGAGAAAGCAGGTAATAAGTTGATTTCAATACTTTCAAAAGATACTTTGTCTTCACGGGAGTATGAGGTAATTTAATTTGTTACAGTTATTGAATTAGCACAGTTCAAAATCAGGAGGCTTAGAACGTGGTCTGAGATCTGGTGATAGAGTTCATGCTGTCCTTGAGCACTTTATCGCATCACCCTTATCTTTGTTCTGTAAAGGTCCCATTTTCCTTTCAGTGTATTATTTTGAAGAGAGGAAAGAGTTGTGTGGCCGCTGAGTAGACAGTGTTTGATCTGTTTCGCTTGCCTATTTGCTCTATGTTCTGTCATGATCACTGTGCTACTTTGGATGCATTCTTTCACTTTGAGCAGTATGACTTGAAAACTGAATGGTGGGTAAATAATTGTTAGTCTCCACATAAACAGATTAGCCTCTTTGACAGGTAGAATGGATTTGGAAGAGTTAACATCTTCTAAGTAACCTAACATTTTTGTGCTTCTACTGATTGTTATTTTACTTGTTGACTAGTTTCATAAACCCATGCAGTCTTTGAGAAAGTTCAAGATAGTAGTGCTATTTCAGTTTTTACAATTAAGTATGTAGATCAAAGCATGATATATTTTGGCTAAGAAAATATTAGTAGAACAACTTTTATTTGAATGGGAATATCATATAGTTTTATCTGCTTGTACCTCCTAGTCATAAAATAGATTTAGCTCAATTTAAGTAAAGTTGTCCAAGTATTTAAACATAAAGTAATTGAAATTCAAGTTTAACTTTGATTAAGCATAATTTAAATAATCTTAAGTTACATACTTAAAGTAATTCCATGCATGGATCTTCTATGTAATGAAACTCATTATGTTTAATTTTCCCAGCAGAAATTCAGGAAGCAAAAGCTCCCAGTCCTTCCATAAACCGGCAAGCCAGCATTGAAACGGATAGAGTGTCTAAAGAGTTCATAGAATTTCTCAAGACCTTCCACAAGACAGGCCAAGAAATCTATAAGCAGACCAAGATGTTTTTGGAAACAATGCATTACAAAAGGGTAGGTTGAGAGTAACCACTTAGAGACTTGGAGTTTTGGTTTTAGGAAAGGTCTTAGAGATAATCTAGTGTAACTTTGTCCCTTTACACCTGGGAAAATCAAGACCCAGAGATGTTAAGTTACTTACCTAAGAAATGTCACTGAAACAAGTTAAAACCCAACTCCCAGGCTAGTACTTTTCCACTGCAAGTCAGTGGTGTTTGGATCATCTTTGCACGGAAAGTCTGACACTGAAGCCACTTATATTGTGTACTTTAGTAAAAAGCCTTCCTAACCGGTCACCTTGTAAGTAGTATAAACTGCCAAGAGAAAGAACATAGTAGATCTTGAACTCTAAGTAACAGTTGTTAGACCAGGTAGCATTCATGTCAGGGTTTTTTGTTTTTGTTTTGTTTTGTATTTTGATACAAAATACCTCTCCTTGCTCAGATAGAGAAGGGAAAGCTAGAATTTAGATGTGGAAAGGGACCTTAGCAACTATCTGGGTTCAGTCCCTTCATTTTATAGATGGGGAAGGTTACACAGCTACATTCTGCCCATGTCGGAACTAGAACTTGTGCCTTCCACATGTGTGTCTTTAACCCATAATTTCTTAAACTGTAATTTCAATTGCAGTAATTCATAAGACTACTTGTAAAGGGACTCATTTTTTTAAACAGTGATCAATTTGTTTGTAGCATTCTTCAGCTATTAAACTCAGAATTAGCTCTCAAAGCCCTTTCTGTGAAGTGAGGAAGTCTTGAAAAAGAGAAGAAGGCAGCAAGGTGATGAACTGCTTGGCTGTATTCCAGCTGTGGTCAGGATCACTAGGCTAATAAGCAGTCATCTTCTGCCAAAATATTTTTTAAATACCAAATTCAGTTAGTAAAGGAGAAAAGCAGCTTTCTTGTTTTTTTGGTGTGTAGTTACACTGAGAATAAGTAAGCAGCCCTTTTTTTTTCCCTCAAAGTATTTGTAAGCAGATAGTAACAGTTATTTTTTATTTTTTTAAAAGATTTTATTTATTTGACAGACACAGCGAGAGAGGGAACACAAGCAGGGGGAGAGGCAGAGGGAGAAGCAGGCTTCCCGTGGAGCAGGGAGCCCGATGCGGGGCTCGATCCCAGGACCCCGGGATCATGACCTGAGCCGGACGCTTAACGGCCGAGCCACCCACGCGCCCCAGATAGTAACATTTAAAGAAAACATGGATCATTGATGTTTTGGGTTAGAAGCAACGATAGACTTCCTCAGTATGGAAATATCAGAGCTCATGTGGTGTGCAACTTTCCTTTTTTAACCAGAGGTAAAAACTAAGGCTTTGTAGTTCTTTATTCTCTAGCCCATACAGAATGTTTCCAGGACATCTATCCTATTTTGGCATATACACTATAGTACATAAAGCACAGATACTGTGTAATGCTGTATTTTAGAAAACCAGTCAGCTTATTTAATCAGCTCATCAGAACAGATTTATTCATTTTTCTTTTGCTCAGAACTATAATGTGCTCTTGTTCTGTAATAAGTTAGTTGACTTTTAAATCAATACACTAAAGTATAACGGTAATTAACTGGTGCAGCTACCGTCGTGCCTGTTTTCAAGGCATCACTAATTGATACCAGAGAACTGGATAGGGCCTAGATTGCTTCCATTTGAAGAGCCATCTTGCAACCTGTTTTGCATTTCTACACAGCCCTAACTGTTCTGTGGCTGAGTGGCCAAGTCTTATGCATGTGTGGTTAGCATCTAGCACAATGCCTGGCACATACCTGATAATGAATAGACATTTGCTAAACTGAAATGTCCCTGGAGAAGCCCTTCTGCCTTTGGCTGCAAGTTAAATATCCTTTCAAATAAATGAAACAGTTTTTATACCAGAATGAACCAATCTTAACTAACTAGCTTCAAATCACTTAATCATTTAAGTTTCTTGAGAGAATTTGATTGAGTACAGCTTGAGATAGTTGCTGTGAGGTAATGAAGTGTGTCATAGTGAAAGGTGCCCTCTCTACTCAGTTCACCAAAACGCAAAACCTTAACTTAGGCTTAGACTTAAGACTCTAAAACCTTAATGTTATTCTCACCAAGTAGACTTTCTAAGTCATCTTATTCTAATGAAAACTCATTCTTATATGTTTGAACCTACCCTGGTGACACTGCCATTAACTGGTTAATTTTTTTTATTTTTTTTTTAAGACTTTATTTATTTGAGAGAGAGACAGAGAGAGCACAAACAGGAGGGGCAGAGAGAGAGGGAGAAGCAAACTCCCTGCTGAGTGGGGAGCCCAACTCAGGGCTCAATCCCAGGGCCCTGAGATCATGACCTGAGCCGAAATCAAGAATCAGCTGCTTAACCGAGTGAGCCACCCAGGCGCCCCAACTGGTAATTCTTTCTATTGCGTCCCACAGTAGTAGTCTTCCCAAAATTTCTGAGGTCCAGAACAATGAGCCACTCTTGCCCGTATCTTTATCTACTACATTTCTGTTTTCTCTAATCCTAGTGTATGCCAATGGTGAGCAGTCTTTTCCACATATGGATCAAGTCTAGAAAACTAAATATTTACAGAATTGCATTAAAAAGGTTGGGGTTTTTTTCAGCCATTTTATCTTTGTCATGAAACACCTTATCTGTACTCAGACTTTTTTGTTAATTTCCTCATCTTGGGCTGAAATTTCATTCAGCCCCTATGTAATTCATACACACTGCAATAATGCAATGTAATGCTTTGCTGTTCAGCAAATACTGTTGTTTGCTAAGACTCTTCTGAAGCTGGTTTATTTTGCCATTTTTTCTTTTCGATTAATCTCATTAGCTATTTAATATTAAAATATGTATTTCTTATAGTTCCTTTTTATATTCTTTAGAATAAGAAATATTTTTATTGCAAACAAGATAGGCAGCTGCATCATTAACACAAAATCCATTTATATTAATGTTATCAGACGCTTTTCTCTTCTTAGAACTCATCATAGCAAGAATTTAAATTTTTTTTTTTTTTTAAGATTTTTTATTTTATTTATTTGACAGATAGAGACACAGCGAGAGAGGGAACACAAGCAGGGGGAGTGGGAGAGGGAGAAGCAGGCTCCCCGCAGAGCAGGGAGCCCGACGCGGGACTCGATCCCAGGACCCCGGGATCATGACCTGAGCCGAAGGCAGTCGCTTAACCAACTGAGCCACCCAGGCGCCCAGCAAGAATTTAAATTTTATGGGGGGGTAGCATATACAGAAGAAGCTAAGAGGAATTTACAAGGTTTAGTTTTTTAAACTTCTTATTATTACAAAAATAACTAGAATTTAAGAATCTCACTGTAAGAACCAAGCTTTAAATAGGCCTAAGAGTGGCCATGGATTCCAGGATGTATCTGGTCACCAAAGAAATGAAGGATGTATAGGTTTCTTTGTCATTTGGACAAAACCTTATGTGCCCAGGGTAATTTTAAAAGTATTACAGAGACCCAACTAGATGTTAGCCTTTTCCATCATAACTAGAAAACCCTATTTTTTAACTTGAGATCCCTGCCAAAAAATGAAGAATTTTTCCCCAAGTTTATTTATATGAAAACGTTTTCAGGGGCACCTGGGTGGCTCAGTTGTTAAGTGTCTGCCTTCGGCTTAGGTCATAATCCCAGGGTCCTGGGATCGAGCCCCTCAGGCATCGGGCTCCCTGCTCAGCAGGAGGCCTGCTTCTCCCTCTCCCACTTCTGCTTGTGTTCTCTCTCCGCTGTCTCTCTCTGTCAAATAAATAAATAAAATCTTTAAAAAAAAGAAAACATTTTCAAAACACACACAAAACAGACTGCAGTTAAATCAAAGAGATACTTTTGCTGCTCAAATTGTTTAAATCCTGCCCTTGTTAATTACTAATAAATCCTTCGGAAACACTCCCCTATTCTGAAAGCGTAGCCTGTATTACCCTCTACTTCTGAAAACACATACCCTTTAATTTATTGGACATTAAAGCTTTTTAATAAGTGAATTTTGTGGGTTTCTCAATGCAGTTTTTCAAAAGATTTATTTTAGTGCTAGAGAGCAAGAGAGTGAGGGAAGGGGCAGAAGAAGAGGGAAAGAGAAACTCAAGTACACTTCATGCTGACTGCAGAGCCCGACACAGGGCTCACCAACCCTGAGATCACGATCTGAGCCAAAACCAGGAGTCAGATGCTTAACCAACTGCACCACCCAGGCACCCCTCTCAATACAGTTTTTTAAAAAAGATTCCTTTATTAGCAGTCATTCAAATATGTTTTTTCCCTTATTAAAGAAGCATTCAAACACAATGGAAGACCTCTTGCTACTTTCATTGTTCTATTCCCAGCCATTCATTCTATAAAATTCTGACATTATTACATATATAAATTTAAAAAATTTCCCATACTAATTCTCTTTGAAAAACTGTTTTTCTAAACCTGAGAAAGGAGAAAAAAATTATAGTTTAAAATGTGGCTGTATCTTCATTTACCTTCTTCTCCTCAGAATAAATTCTAGAAAGATAGATGTCCTCCTGTACCTTAAAATGACTTCACTATTCTAAACTATGTGTATATACAAGGTGTAGTTTGCCTGCTATGTAATTACTGTTAAGAGAGGAGAAATATGTATCCAAGACAAAGAAACTTTAATTACCAAATAGGCTTTTAATCGTGGTTAAGAAAATTGGGGAACGGGCATGGGGGAGTAACCCAGGACACAATTGTAAATTAGAAGCACAAAGGATGAGAAGTGAGGTGACAAGCAATGGGAAAGCATCTGAGCTGGTACAATCTGTATATCATAAGAACTAAAAGTAGATAAAAGGTTGAGTTGGTAAACTATGTTGAAAGTGATGAATGAATAAAATAAGAACATACATAGAAGAATACAGTGATATGTGAGAGAAATTTTAAAACATTATGGAGTTGAACCCTCAGTGGGTGAGGCCGGCAAGACAGGCTCCCAGCTTTGGCATCGCCTCTCAGGCCCTCTCCTGTTGTGCACGGCTACAAAACAAAAGAACGGTGGCCAGAATGGAAGAGAGGA